AGCTGCTCTTTGGTCCCTCTGCAGCTGCTCTTTGGTTCCTCTGCAGCGACTCTTTGGTTCCTCTGCAGTGGCTCTTTGGTTCCTCTGCAGCTGCTCTTTGGTCCCTCTGCAGCAGTTTTTTGGTCCCTCTGCAGCGGCTCTTTGGTTCCTCTGCAGTTGCTCTTTGGTCCCTCTGCAGCGGCTCTTTGCTTCCTCTGCAGCAGCTCTGTGGTTCCTCTGCAGTTGCTCTTTGGTTCCTCTGCAGCAGCTCTTTGCTCCCTCTGCAGCGGCTCTTTGGTTCCTCTGCAGCAGCTCTTTGCTCCCTCTGCAGCAGCTCTTTGGTTCCTCTGCAGCGGCTCTTTGGTTCCTCTGCAGCGGCTCTTTGGTTCCTCTGCAGCGGCTCTTTCGAGCTTGGCCCAAATCTAACAGAAAACTGATTTTTTTTTTTTTATGTTATACAAACAACAAAAAAGGATTAGATCAAACTGTTTTCTTGTCATTTATTTTGCAAATATATGAAAACTGGAGCGAGTACAAGGAGTAAAACATACTTTAACGTGATGCTTTATTTCTTTATATGAAGAGCTGGCTGCATAGTTGAATTAAAACTTGATTATTTCCCCACTTCTTTACAAAAATCGAACGTTTTACTTTAATAAATGTTAAAAATCATTCGATATTTTTTGCTTTATATTTTCACCCCTACCGGTCACAAAAGCCTCCTCCAACACACCTAAAGTGGCCCATGGGCCACCAGTTGATAAGCACAGTTGTTGCAGGTTGTTGCGACTCCGGACACGTTAAATGTAGTGAACAAAGGCGAAAAATGATTCGATCGTAACGGTTGAAGACCCCTGCCCTGAGACAACAAACCAAAATTCTGGTGAGGGGGTTGGGGGAGGGGTCACATATGATCAATATATTATCAGGGATCCGTGCGAGTTAATTCGCTGTAGAAGGGAGCAGCCAAAAAACATTAAATATAATTTATAATACATTTATATTTACAATATTTATAGACATACAATTTATTAAACATTTATATATGCACTACATTATCAGGGAACCCCCAAGCTCCTAAAAGCAAGGGTGAAATATTGTTTTTACTCCTAAAATAATAATTCATATTGAGCTAATTGATTTATTAAAGATTCAAGAAACATGAGTTATCAAGATTTTTTTTTATTTTTTAGGCAGAGTCATTTGTTGATAGGATCTGATTTATTAGTTTTCCCTGAGTGGTCCACACTCCTTTCCAGTTGATGGCAGTAATTGATCATAATCTGTCTGCCTGCGCACAATAAACAATGAAGGAAGAAGAAGAAGAAGAAGAAGGAAAATCCTGGGATTATCGTGTTTACTAGTCCGGGACGTTAGGATTGCACCTGGGAGGAAATAATTCATATAAAGTAGGATTTTTCCTGCGATGTTTAGATATAGCGCATAGCTTGTGTTGAGGGAGGGGGTCAGCAGTGGAGCCGCCCCCCCATCAGGGACCAGATGGCGCATGAAGCCGAGCCGCAGCTGCTGACTGACCGTGCTGCACGAACGATGGACTCCTGATCAATTCTTTGTTTTGTTTTTTTTAAGGCTTTTGCATAGTTTATTTATTTACTTAAATATTTATTCCAAAGGATAATCCATGTCAGAGTGAGCGTATGACTGCAAACCCTTCTGGATTGACTTAATCTGATGCGCGACGGACTGGCATCAATTTAATCCCCCCCTTTTTCTTTTTTTTTGGCTGCGTGAACAATGGTGGACAACCGTTACGCCACGGCTCTGGTCATCGCCTGCGTCCTGAGTCTGCTGGCCACCGTGTACCTGTCCGTGGCCGTGGGCACGCAGCACTGGTACCAGTACAGCAGCCCCACGGTGCGCGGAGAGGCCAACGTGTCCGAGCTGCGCTCCCTGTACGAGGAGTTCATGGCGGGCGGGGAGTTCGACGAGAAGACGTACAGCGACACCCTGTTCCGCCTCAACGGCACCGTGGGCCTGTGGTGGCGCTGCGTGCTCGTGCCCGCCGCTGCTAATTGGTACAGGGAGCCAGGTGTGTTGATGACGTCACCCCCGCTTGTCCGTCTTTCGTTACTGCTTTGTTCTGGCACTCCTGCATGCAGCTCGTGGGCGGTTTGGCGCCAGATGTGACTCCAGATGAGAAATGATTGTTTGTAGTGAAGCCAGAAACGACCGAGTCACTGTCGCAAAAGGTATCAGGTTACTTTTTAGACAATGAGCGAGAAAGACTCTTAAAAGTAAGGTGGATGTTTTGTTGACAAAAGCACTTGACTGATGACAGTAAAGGATTTGTCTAAAGCAGGGCCCGCGGGCCACTTCCGGCCCACGCGTCTTCAGTCTGGCCCACCAATCAGTTCATTAAAAAGAGGGGTTGTATTTACATATACATACACACACATATAAATATATGATAGAACTTTATTGATCCCACAGGAAATTGTTGTTCCAGATTTTCATATATATATATATATATATACATGTATGTATGTGTGTGTATATATATATATATATATATATACACATATGTATGTATGCATGTATGTGTATATTCATATATGTATGTATGTTTGTATGTATATATATATGTATGTATATATATATGTGTATGTATATATATATGTATGTATATATATATATATATACATATGTATGTATATATATATATATATGTATGTATATATATATATATATGTATGTATATATATATGTATGTATATATA